GGGGTATCGTGTTTGAGTCTCTGGGCATCATAGTGCGCGCGCCGAAGGCCGGAAATGATTTCATCGTCTTCCGAGTCGTACTCCATTTCGTCCACATCTTCCCAACCATCTTCGTCTGTGTAATCGTCTAGGTTGGTGGCCTGGGCTGGGTCATAACCCTGGCGATATTGATCTTCAAGGTCATCAAATCCGGGATTGGTCATCCCATCATCTGGCCAGGTGGCATCTTGTGATGGTGCGTCGTTTGAGCCTTCACCTGTTTTAACTCCGTTCTTGCGTCGGATGAAGTGAGATTGTGATTTGATGGTCTGATGCTGGTCTCTCTTCTTTTGAGCCAAGAAAGCAAGCTGTCGATCAGTAACCGGTTTAGGATTGGTGCGAATCTTCTTCAAGGGTTTATTGAAGTTTGTTGGAGCCATTGCCACAACAAAATGATCAATAGGGCGAAAGTGAACAACTTTTTTGATTGTGGACTTAATACCTTGACTAAAATCGCGTTGAAGACTAAGCCACTAACTCTTTGGGCTATCGAGCTACCCAAAGAGGAAAACTAGCCTATTACGCAAATGGTTATATTACACAGTATTGTCAGATTATTGTCTAAATACTGTGGTACAATACTGCAGCAAAATAAGGTACCAAACGTGGTAAGATCATACCACTGTGGTATTGATGTGATTACGAAAATACCGCGGTAAAATAACCGCTCCCAAACGGGGCCTAAGGAATGTAAAAAGTTGCAAGTTGGTGCTAGTTTTGAAGCCCTAGCTAGATGGTCATAGTCATCAGGTTTGTTCACTTTGGGGACAAATTGTTTGTAGTTTTCAGGTTTGCTAATAATTAATGACGTTGGAAAAATGTCTCACACACAACATTGCAAAGCAAAAGTGATTTTAAACATTGAAGATGAGGTTTTTTGAGGAAAGTACATTAATGAAAAGTGTCCAGCGTGCATTAAAGCACATTTACCAAAGGATTAAAACACATTTTGACCACATCTTCAATGTGTTTGTGAAGGGTTTGTACTTGAGTGGATCCAAAAAGGTGTTTTTTTTGGTATGGAAGTAGAGTTTGCAAGGTGAAGATGAGGAATTTTAAGAAAAGTTCATTAATAAAAAGTGTTCAGCGTGCAGGAATTCACATTTAACAAAGGATCAAAACACATTTTGACCACATCTTCAATGTGTTTGTGCAGTGTTTGTACTTAAGTGGAACCAAAAAGGTGCTTTTTGGATATGGAACTACAATTTGCAAGGTGAAAATAAGGTATTTTGACACAAGGCCGTTAATGAAAAGTGCTCACCGTGCCCGAATTCACATTTACAGAGCAAACACAATTTGCCCATATTCATTGTGTTTAAGGCAACTTTGAGGTCTAATTACTAAGAGTATAGGCAAGAAGACTTGTTTGGAATTCATGAAAAAACCTTTCCCAAGGATTTTGATACAAAATTGAACACAGATTCCACATAAACTCCTTGAAGATGTGGTAAGATTGTCTTTTCCTCCTTTCTTAAATGTACTTTCATGCACGCCGGACATCTTTCATTAATGAGTTTTCCCCAAAAACTCTCATCTTCACCCTGCAATTTCCACTTCCATATCAAAAAAACTCTTGATTTGATCCACTCAAGTACAAACACTGCACAAACACATTGAAGATGTGGTCAAAATGTGTTTTGATCCTTTGTTAAATGTGCTTTAATGCACGCTGAACACTTTTCATTATTGAACTTTTCTTAAAATCCCTCATCTTCACCTTTCAATTGCAATTTCAACATCACATATGGTAAATTTATCTCCTGCTCAAGTACAAATACCACACAAACACATTGAAGGTGTGGTTAAATTGTGTTTTGCTTCTTTGTTAAATGTGCTTTTATGCACGCTGGACACTTTTCATTGATATACTTTCCTCAAAAAGCCTCATCTTCACCTTGCAAATTCTACTTCCATACCAAAAAACCACCTTTTTGGATCCACTCAAGTACAAACACTGCACAAACACATTGAAGATGTGGTCAAAATGTGTTTTGATCCTTTTTTAAATGTGCTTTAATGCACGCTGAACACTTTTCATTATTGAACTTTTCTTAAAATCCCTCATCTTCACCTTTCAATTGCAATTTCAACATCACAAATGGTAAATTTATCTCCTGCTCAAGTACAAATACCACACAAACACATTGAAGATGTGGTCAAAATGTGTTTTGATCCTTTGTTAAATGTGAATTCCTGCACGCTGAACACTTTTTATTAATGAACTTTTCTTAAAATCCCTCATCTTCACCTTGCAAACTCTACTTCCATACCAAAAAAACACCTTTTTGGATCCACTCAAGTATAAACCCTTCACAAACACATTGAAGATGTGGTGAAATTGTGTTTTGATCCTTTGATAAATGTGCTTTTATGCACGCTGGACACTTTTCATTAATGAACTTTTCTCAAAATACCTCATCTTCAATGTTTAAAATCACATTTGATTTTGAAAATGGTACTATTTTCTCCCAACCAGTTACAAAAGCCACAAAAACACATTGAAGATGTGGCAAAATTGTGTGTTGCTCATCTAGGAACTGTGATTTCTTACATGTTGAACACTTTTCATTGATGAACTTTTCTCAAAAACTCTCATCTTCACCCTTTAAAATCACTTTTGATATTCAAGAAGCTACTATTTTCTCCAGATCAGGTACCACCACGACACAAACACATTCAAGATGGGGCAAATCGGGGTACTGCTTCTTTGCCAAATTTACTCTCTTATACGCCGGACAACTTTCATTATTGGTATCTTATCACATTTACCCATCTTGATCCTTTAATTCCAACTTCAATACACATACTCAACATTTGTCCTTTCCTATCAATCTGAGCAGTATTGTCTAATTAGCATTTTCAAAGCATGAGAGCAGATGAAATACATTTGAAACAAACAGAAAGTGAATCCCTTGTTCCAGTGACACATTAACAGCTAGTTGTACCATCTCAAAAGTGTAGCCCATATGAAAATTGTCTTCAACTTCACCTTCCGTGTCACAAGGCACCTATAGCAAGTTTTTCTCAAGTTTGTGTATCTGTATGCTGCACTCAAGCCCAATCTACATCCAACCATGATATTTTTCATGTTAATCGATTTTCTTTGGCAAACAAAACTGACTGAATCTACATTACCCATTCGAAGATTTTAACCTCAATATGAAAACCATTACAACTGAGATAAAACTCCAGGATGACGGGTTGAGAAGTGTCAAAACAAGTAGATGTATGAAAAACAAGCAACAGACAAACAGAACAACATAAGAGAGCTTAATAGTAGCGTTAAGAAATCACAACTGGGTCATTGATGCCTGTGCATTCGATTGATGTAAGTGGTATGGAAACTCATTCTGTGGCTTATTGATTTTGCCGCTGGAATGGAAAGAGGTAGAGATGGGAATGAGGTAAAGTCCTATTTGAAGTACTGATGAACACGATGGTTTTGGGTGAGTAGCGTGGTCGCCAGTGTCATATCTAGTATCAGATGTATGTAAAGACTCACATGGCTTCTAAAGTGGCCCGTAGGGCATGTCTATTGGTTAAACCGATAATGGTGCTCGAAGGACTAAGATGAAGCTTCGGTCTATCAGTGATTTCCTCAGTATCCGATTGAATAGAAGCATACTGACCTATGAGTGTGAGTAATAGAATCAGCGATTCGGAGGGTATGTTTCAAGATTTGGACTCTGTGTAGCACTTTTGACATACGTCCAAGTTCAATGCTGCTTCCAAATCCAGTGCTGCTCGGGTCATGTAAACCAACGATGGATTCTCTGGCCAATGCTTGTGTGTGAAGGTAAATTCGGAGTTCGTGAACAGCATTGTGGGCGAACTCGCAGTCGGATACAATCGCTTGAAACTCCTTTGTGAGCAAGATTTGAATTAACTCAAGGCACTTTGCATCAATGGATACTGTCCAAATGTTATCAATAACAGGTTTTGGCCTTAGCAAGTATTCATCGATATTCAGCATCAACAAAATTGCGTTGGAAAGGTCGTGAAGCCACGAATGGAAATTGGTGCCATGAAGTTTCAATTTGGGAATGGCGTCTTGAAACCTGGACGGGTCTATCTTGTTGACTTCGATAGAGCCCCTGAGAAGTTCATCATCGGAAGGTTTGTCATTGGGCGACATAATCAATTCTAACAGGAAGTTAAAACCTACATAATCAGCGAAAGCCAAATGAATTCAGACCACAAGAAGGAGACCAGTCACACCTTGATTTCGAAAATAGTGAGGAAGGGGAGTAGAGCCGTCAGAGAATCAAGTCAAAAGGTTCGGTGTTTGTGGTTTGGTGTTTGTTCGGAAGGGGTAAGTAGATGAATGATGTTGTTGATGGTTAATGTCGATGTTGTTGACGTCCAAAGTTATTGACGTCCAAAGTTATTGACGGGTGGGTTGCGGGACAGCCCGTCGGGTCGGGGGGTCGTTCTGGCCTTCGAAGGGTCGCAGAACCGCGGGGATTATCGGGCCCGGGAATCGTTCTGAGAGTCAAAAGAAAGTGACTCTCCTCGGGGAACCCGAGGAAAAATCAAGCTGTAAAAAGCGGATAAATACACGCTTGGGAGAGGTTGTGCTCAGCGGTTTCTGCCGGAAATAGCCGGGGACTCGGGGATCCCCGTAATTTCCCGGGGATTTGGTAGTTCGTCGGGGGTCAGGGTACGGGAGCCGGGCTTGACCTATGAGCCAGAAAAAGCTCGGGGAATACCGGGGTCGGTCCTCGTTCTGACTTTTGAAAAAAAGTCGGTGGGCCGGGCAGCCCAGTCCCCGGCATTCGGGGGTCGGGGCTCATCCTGAGAACTTGTTGACGTCCAAAGTTATTGACGGGTGGGTTGTATGTAGTCACACAGCTCTGAATCATCAACCGATACAGCTCACAGCTGTATAACAATGCTGATATTTGATACTATTGATTCAATCAAATAGGATACAATACATTCCAAAACCAATGAATCAATAACGTAACACTGGGCAGATGTAGTATTTTTCCCAAGTGAAAAATGATTGACCTGAAGGACAAACAAAATTGAAAAAGGTGGAATTCTGAATTCATTTTGTGTGTGCATTAACACTGCATTTTACTGCATTGATGCTGCATTTTTCCGCATTAATGGTGCATTTTTATGCATTAACACAGCATTTTTAATCATTTTGACATTAATTTTAATTAGGATACAATACATTCCAAAACCAATGAATCAATAACGTAACATGATCATTTGCTCTTCCGCAAATGAATTGATAAAGAGGGTAAATTCAGTGAACGTCACACTCATTTGAGACCTCGGTTGCGGATGAAAGGAGAATCAGATTTGAATTTGGCTTCGAAGCTTGGAACTAAAGAAGACTCACTTTTGCAGAATTAAAGATTGACGTTTCGACCAGAGTGAAACTAAAAGGATAGTAAGCTAAAGCAACTCAATATAATTGGTTGGAGACAACTTTGTTTGAAGTGTGAACAGGTTTGAACCATTTGAGTTGGGAAAACATTTGGTCTAAATTGAACCATTCATATGTACATCTAGCTCTCTATGTATGTCATTTTTGTGATATAGAGGTTCAACATCGTGAAGCTTCAGCTCAGGTGCTTCGCTTTCTTGATTGAACTGAATGTCAGGAAGTGAGTGGTACTCGTGATATGTCAATCGTGACAAGGTGAGATTGTTCTAGTTGAAATTTTGACCGACCGACTTCGGTTTGTATTGAAAGCAAGCCACATAATACTATGGAGACACGAAATGAAAGTTTGAGACAGGGAAACAACAGGAAACAACAGGAAACAACACTTTTGAAGGTTGGAAACAAAACAAAGTTTAGATTGGAATTACAAGTTAATAGTTAAAGAACATGACGATATAATGAGATGGGGTGATTAAATATAAAACGTTAATACCGTTAAATCAAACAGAGCAATTAAACATCGCTGCGGCTTTGGTCCAAATCTGATCGAGGAGTAACTAGATCTGCAGCTTTGACTATCAAGTACCTTTTAGCTTTGATATCGTCTATCCATATCTTGACTTGATGGTCGGGTAGTTGTCCTGCACGTGAACCCTTCGATAGCATTGCGTCAGTTACTTGTGAATCAGGTAAACGCTGCACTGCGAGTTCTATGTCCCCTCAAAACTTTCTTCCTTGTAAGATCAAGTGAGGATTTGGGCCTTGTGGATGGGCATCCGACTTGATTTGGTGGCCTCCTGGAAGATGGGCGTCTGAGGAGGAAGCATATGAACCATGGGGTGTATCAGACAGGACACTTTTGGTCTATGGTAGAGGGCATAAACTCACGTATCAAATCATTCAGGGATGTGTTGAGCTCTTTTCTCAAAGAAGCTTGATGTTTTGAGTACTCGGCCTGTTTTGCATTTTTTTGACTCTTTGGAGGTGCTTGTGTACACTCGACAGCAAATCGTTCAAGAAGGTGTAGCTCCTTGCGCGCATGTACAGCCCAACGTTCGCATGATGTGAACTCCTCTTGATATAGGGCACGAGTCTGAGATGTATTTGGATTCCAAGCAGCAACTAGGAGGTGAAAATGAAAATGGAATTTACTGTTGATGATATGAAGCTGTTGAGGAGGAGTTTTTGAAAATGGAGATTATCATTCAATTCAATCATGGAAGAAGAGAAAATACTTACTTGTTCAACCAATTTCTTAATCTCATCAATTCCAACTTTTTCCAACTGATGGCCCTTTCTGCTGTGCCTGCAGAGACGGCCGTGCTTGAAGTCGCGCGCCACGGACTTTTTGTTGACCAGCCTGTTGAATATAGGCAAATATTGATTCTTTTCGGCTTCAGTAAGTGCATCTGTAGTTGCTTCGGTCGGTTCGGTCTGGTCAGATGCTGTAAGTGCTGGTGTGATAATAGGGTCACCGTCTTTGACAAGAGCCTGTATGAGGTTTTCAAATAACCTAGGATAAAAGATATCCTTCTCCTCCTCGCTGTACGATGTCCAAGCGTTGCCAACAATGCGATTGCGCTGCTTGAACCCGTTTGATTGACCTTTGGGTGGCACTGTACAAGAATAAAAGGTTTTGATTGTCATTGATCACTCGTTATAAAATGGGATGCTGGAGCTTATTATATGAGAATGCGACGACGGGTGAAAGTTACTTACTTGGTGTGGTGGTACTAACTACGCTGTAAGTCTGATAGTTGGTATATCCATTAGGTTCGCGAGCAAGCGGCCCTTCTTTTGGAATACGAAGTATAGTTTCAAACACATCAAACTATGTTATTTCCAACTCAAACTACATCATATCAAATTATCTTATCTTCAACTCAAACTACATTAAATCAAACTCAATTATAATTGAATACAAAACTTAATTCTTCAAACTCAGACCTAATTCATCAAGATTTCTAACCTAACTAAATCTCATCACTATATCACATCTAGATTAGATCACACACTCCGCACACGCCTCTCTTCCTCACCAGTTCACTGAGGAAGATTGGCGTGTAAGCTCTTTCCCATTTTATTACATCACATCTTTGTTAAATGTAGTGCAGATAACTCACTCTATCATGTTGTTTAGATTATCATACGCACTATTTGTTATCACCTTTATAGGTGTGTTACCTTTTGTCACGGTGCTCAGAACCATTAGACGTATTGTAGCCTGATTGCTGGCTTCTACCAAGGTTAGTTTTTGTTGTCATTGATGTAATAAATACTACCAGTTCACTGAGGAAGATTGGCGTATTATCATACGCACTAGGGCTTGACAGAAGGGACAAACTTACAGCGAAGCATTGAGTGTTGATTGGCTGATTCCCTCGGCTACACAGAGCATCGTTTTGTCTAAGTTGTATTGAGCTTCAAAGAGAGACGTTGCAGGTGTCCGGGTCTTGAGGTGAGGTTGACGAGCAAGGATCCTGTCAGCACGTACTTGGCCCCATTCAAGGCCAAGTTCGTGGTAGTTGTGGATTGTGGGAAGAATGGTTGGTGTCTTCCGTTTGCGCTTCTTAACAATGGTTGCTGGTATTGAAGGGTCTTCTTCGTCGGAGTCTTCATCTTCGTCTTCGAAAGAATCGGAACGGTGAGGAGAAGACTGGGATTCATGTCGGATGCGGGTGCTTGATCCAACACGACCACCTCCACAACCACCGGATGTTGCTCGAGTGCTGTATGGCATGTCTGGGAATTGAGATACGTGAAAATGGTGGATTATCAAGGTGGTGAAGGGTACGAGTGAGGTCCGTCACTTCAGTAAAGGAAGACCTGACCTAATGCAAGTATTTATGAAATATGAAGCTCGTGAAAGGGTGGTGGAAAAGGGGTGAAAGGGTGGTGAAAGAGTGGTGAGACAGCGGTGAGAGGGGACAACAAGAGGTGGTGAAAGGGAGGTGAAAAGGGGGTGAGAGGGTGGTGAAAAGGGTGTGAGAGGGTGGTGAAAAGGGGGTGAGAGGGTGGTGAAAAGGTGGTGAGAGGGTGGTGAGAGGGTGGTGGAAAGGTGGTGAGAGGGTGGTGAGAGGGTGGTGAAAAGGGGGTGAGAAGGGTGGGACTTGTGCCAGGGGGGTGGTCTCCTGTTGGTGAGCAGAAAGGGAACTTAGCCAAATTTCGAGGTCACCAGAGATGTATCTATGTATCTAGATAAATCTAGAAGGGATTTGCGGACCCGCTAGGTCGGGACCGATTCTTTTTACGTCGGATAGGTTAGGTTAAATTGAAGGCGCACAGGTGTAATTTCAACGGGTATATGTACAACATACAAAATCATCAAGTGTATTTTTTTTACTTCTTGTTCTGCAAAAACATATTGATTATTAAACCAATTCCAATCAAGATGAAAAACTCCCATTACGTTGATATATAAGATACTTTAACTAAAGAAGATATAATTAAACAAAACCTCTCTCAAACCAAGCAACAAACCCTCATTTATGATTTTTTTTCGTTTCCAAACCAACCTTCATTAAGAATCCCATCCACAACCTCACCAGATCTGACGGCCAAAACACTAAAAATCGAAATCGAAAAATCAATATCAGTCAACGAATCGAATTTTGAAGAAAAAAAAATCAAAATCTTAGAATACCTTAAAAGACTATCACCAATTCCATGAGTCGATTCATTACAACCCTGAAGCCAAACCGTTGGACGAAAGAAACGATGATCATGATTTCTTTCTTGATCTTGAAATTCAAGAGGTAAAAGTAATCTATAATGACGCGAGATTTGAAATGAGTTGATGAGATTCTTAATAGATTGATTAGACTGATGATTTATAAATAAGTTTGATAAGTTTTTGCTTTGAGGTTGAGATGAAGTTGGATTAAATAAGATTTCTTTCCAACTTTCTCGTTTGTAACCTGTACCTAGTATAATCGCATCATAAGTTTTTTGACATCTTTCTCCTGTTAAGACGTTTTCGATGGTCACTATTAATGGAGATGAATCTTCGATTTCTTTGATGATGGAATGATTAATGATTTTGATTTTAGATGAACTGTTTAAGTTTCTTCCTTGGAATTCGATATCTTCTTCAACTTTTTGTGCATAAATCGTTTCATACAACTTGATCATCCACACCAAACCAAACCAAAGATTAGTTGTTTCAAGAATGGATTCTAGGAATCAAAGAGTGAGGCAGAGTCTTACCGATTTTAGAGTTTCAGGATTCACAACCCCATAGTTTGTAGCCTTAGATTGGTTCAAAACGATTTCTCTTGCAGAGTTTAGTTTACCTTTTTGACCTAATTCATAAAAGGTTTGAGTTGAGATAGGATCAAAGATTTCATTTGAAAAAGCTGAATCATCAGAAGGATACAAATGTCCTTTTCGAATCACTAAATCGATTTCAGATCGAACATCAAGTTGGTTTAATTTATGAAAGGTATCTAGTAAGGTTTCAGTAGCACTTTGTCCAGCTCCTATGACGGCTATTTTGAGTTTGCTAGGAGGTTCGTGTAGGTTCGGTTCATGGTCTGGTGTGGTGGGTGAAGAATCGGATAAGGGTCTTGATGAATTGGATCGATCTGAATCGGATGAATCGGAAGTAGGACGAAGTGAATCTAAACTTGACATCAAATTAGATGATGAACTTGGATTTGAATTTAAAGAAGTGAGTAAATCTGATAGAACTTGATCGATTCTTTCCAAGTATTGAGAAGTATGAATGATCCGATGATGATGAGATTGAGGAAAAGGTAAAGGAATCAAAGCGTTTCCACCCGTTGAGATAATTAAGTTTTGACACAGATTAGAATAAAGTTGTCCATTGGATGAGATTGAGATGATTTTCAGTAAGATGATATCACCAGTTTGGTTTGGAATCGGTTCTACATTGATAACTCTTTGATCGTATTTAACAAACACATTGGTAGGTGAATTGGTTTGATCGATCACTTGATTTGATGTCCATGTTAAATAATCTGAAAACTCTCGTCGGGTCGGTGTGAATGTTGATCGGTTTACGAAACTTGCTAATCGGTTATGTGAATGTAAGTATTGTAAAAAAGTAAATGGTGAACTTGGATTACGAAAAGTAGCTAGGTCTTTTAAAAATCTAAAATCCAAAAGATTATTCCAAACCAATCCAAGAATGCAATTTGAAGAGTTAGAAACTTGATTGTTGAATGGAGGTTTGGGGGGGAAAGAAATGAAGATTGAAACTTAACGAGATTTGCATTCGACTACCAGGAATCTAATCAGAAGTAAAAACAAAAAAGAAATCAAGTTAGAATCAAGTAAAGTATCCAAAAGGAAAAGAAGTGAGTGAGTGATCAGATCAGATCAGATCAAACAGTTGAAACAAATCCATTCCAATTTCAACTCACCACCACCCAACCAAAAACAAAAGAAATTCACAAACCATCATTCCTGGATGCCATCGAAATCGATCATGAGATTCTAAAAAACATGATCTAATGATTCTTTTTGGATTCTTCTTAATACGATCATCTTGAGAATGACTTGAGATTTGTAAATTTAAATTTAAATTCATTTCGGCTAAAACTACACTGATTGATAAGTTTGAAGGTCCAAATCCAATTCCTAAAATATCATAAATGGTTTCATCTTCAATGATTCTTGATGATTTCTTTGATAGATCCATTTCTTCTTTCTCTTAAATGTGAATGAAAAAAACTTTGGGAAATAAGTTGGATTGATGAGGTTTGGATTGAGAAAAAGAAATGGTGGTAAGACAGAAAAAAAACCACCCGTTGAAATTTTTTATATGTAGCTTTTTTTCTTCAATCCGCTTACAAATCATATCAAAATAAAAACAAAAACTTGTCGGATATTTTTTTCATCCAATTTGAAAAATACAATTTTGATTTTGTTCCTTTTTTACAATTAAACTGCGGAGTATAGATTCAGTCAAGTTTATCATTTAAAGCAAAATTTGTAGAAACACAAAGAAATTCATTAAACTTTTATAATGAAAGCTGAAATTCGATTTGATTTGGAATGAAGCTTTTCTCTCTCTGTCTCTTTCAAGGAAAGCCAGATTCTTAAGTGAAGATTTCCCCAAAAAAAACTTATAAAACTTGTGTTGTTCAAGATAATGATTTTAACGAGAGTTTCATTTTTGATTGAAATGGTGTTTTCCAAAATGAATTTTCTTGTTTTAAACCTTTAAAAGATCAGTTTACCCTTTCTTTTTTTGGGGGGTTTCACTTCCTATCTAATCTAATTTCTTCAACCAACGTGTCTAAGAACAATCAACTAAACTCCATATTGTATCTTATCAAAGATCTCCTTGAACATCGGATCATATGACTCAAGCGTATGAATTTGATACATAGATATATGAAAACTTTAAGTTCAGATCATCAAAAGGGGTTTGTAAAGAATCAACACAATCGGATTGAATTCCAGCTTTTGATTTTTTTTTGATAGGAAAAAGGGGATACCTTTTTAACGTATATACTTTTTCCGGGCCCGGGCTTGTGTTACAGAGCTAAAGGATATGTATGATCCCTTCCATTCAGACTTGGATGACTTTTGTTTGATAGATTCATCATTTTAGGTTTGATTCAAGATAAAAAACGTTCAGCTAACTCATACATACTATCAAAACACTATATATAAACTCTATTTTGTATGAGGAAAAACGTGGTTTGATGATAAGAGACACGTTCAAAATAATATCAACTTTTGAAAATATTTCTTTGACTTGGATTCTGTTGATAAACATCTCCAAAAAATCAATCGCGAACACACACACACAAGTGATTAAATAATCACAAAGGATTTTGTATTTAAACCTCCTAGAGCATAATTCAAAAAATCAAATTTGATCCATCAAAAAAAAATCATCACATGTTTCTTTTGATAAAATAAAATCATACGATTTCATTATCGATATTTTTCCTTGGTTTTTGTTCTTTTTCTTTCAAAAATGATAGTATAGATAAGACCAAAAAAAGGATATATGAAGAGATGATTCGTAACCTGAACCTTTGTATGATATCAAAAAGAAAACAGGAAATGAAAAGGTTTATAATAGGTTGTTTGAATTTATACCATTGAATTTATATCTTGATAAACTTAGCTTCAATGTATGACTGGTTCTTGAAATTTGTTGTGTACGTATTGATTAACATCCAATCAAAAACAAGTTCAAATGACCATTCAAAGTCACCAATTTTGAAAAGACTTGGTAGATAAGTAAAGTATAATTGATCAAGAAACCGAGGTTTAAGAAAATCATCGATGAATTTCATGTTCAGCTAACAACTATATAATAGTTTAATCCAGAAACCCAAATTCATAAATCAATACATGATGTTTTCTTAACCAGAAAAAGAAGTAGAGAAAAGTACTTTACCATATTAGGTATTCCATCTTTAATTACAAAGATATGTGAACAAGATGGACAAACCATTTGTCCTTCCTGTACATGAATCTAAAGGAATCGTTTTTTTTTGACGAAAATCAAAATCAAAGTCAATAAGTGATGATGATTTGATTTCAGAGATTTCTTAAAATCTTAAAAGATTTCACTTACTTCAAGTAATGCATGGTGTAATGCTAACCAAATCTCATCAGGTATTGAATTAGGATCTTCGATTTGTTGATCAGGTATAGAATCAGGTAACCGATCATCACCTAACTGCAAAAAAACCAAAAAAAATTAGTTTTGAATGGATTTTTTTTTTGAAGGAACATAGTTGAGGTTAACTTAACTGATCTACTAGCTTCAAGTAAAGCATTAAAATCAAGTTTAGGTAAAAATCCCATCAAGAATTCTTTATTGAAATTTGATGGAATGGTTTCTAGTTTGGTTATTGATTGAAACTTTAAGGGAAAGTTTGTGGGGGTTGAACAGGTTCTTGAGTTACATGATAGTAGGTTATGGGTTATTAATCGGACCATTTTCTTTTCTTCTTTTTTTTCTTATTTGATCGGTTTAATTTACGATTTGTTGGTTTTGTTGCTGTTTTTTATTTTGATTTTGTTTCGTTTGATTTTGTTTCGTTTGTTCGTTTTCTGGTTCAGAATATCTTTTTCTCGTTCTTCAGGTTTCTTGACTAGAATTGATGAATCTGATGGTTTGCTGGTATTGAGTGTTTGCTTTTGAGAAGTTGATGGGTGATTTCAATTTGGTAAAACCAAGCTCTAAACTTTTTCATTAAGCTGCATGTATGCGTCAAGTAACAAGTTAAAACCTAACTTAACGGAGATAAAAACACGTGATTAAAACCGATCGCTCTTTTTGAAGGGGCGCGGGTCGGGACCGTGGAAGACTATTTGAAGTTTTGAGTCTCAACTTGCAAGTTCCACCCTGGATGTAAAATAGACCGATTATTGACTTTTCAAAATTATTCAAAGTGTGGATAAGTACTATCCAAGTGCATATCGGTCTTGAAGGGGATCACAAGCGCTACCGGTTACGCTTCCAAAGTTTTCCCTGTCAAGGATGCAGGCGTATGACTCGCGAAATTCGTCAGACCTAAAGTTCAAGGTGATGAGAGCGTTGGGATTTCTACCTTTCGAGAAGAAAATCTGAATAGCGGATCACATTCATCGGCTCCCTGGACCCATCAAAGTGAAGGTTTATAATTTGATCCGCATTGGTCTCAAGAGGAACTCATGAAAGTTATCACTGGGTTGTCCTGATAATAGATAAAATGTGGTCCTCGGAGGTCTTAGGTAAATTAATATGTCCACAGTTCAAATGACTCAAGATACATAGCAATGCTCAAAGTGTTGGTTGCGCTGTAAAAATAACAATAGTTTTTTGGAGAATTCTATTAACACTTGATCTGGAAAACATAAGATGAAAATGATCAAGTAGAAAGTATAGCTCCCAAAAATCTTGGATAGTCTGATAGCCTCATGGTGTATGTAAGGAAAAGTGAATCCAGAGTTTCTTGAATATTCTGGCAAAACTGATCATTCTTGAAAACAAATAGTAGAACTGGACACCAAAAAAGGCTTCAAAAAGATAGAAGGCATATGTTACTTGGGTTCAGCTTGCTGAAATGGCCTTTGATGTCTTTCAAATTCAACCTGACTGAGTTCTTTTTCTCACTTGGATTTTGTTGTGGACTCTGGTAAAAATAACAAAAAAAAGAAAGAATCAATGAAGGAAGGTTAGAACTCTTTGTCTCAATTGCAACCACGTGCTCGGTTTTCACATACATAATACGCGGTACTTTCAGATACATACCTCATCAACTCTCCAGCGCTGCCAAGTCTCTACGCTTGCCTCCGGATGTTACCGTTTGAGCGTATCTGACCTCATCGTCCCGAGCAAGTCAGACATTTGATCTCAAATTATATGTGTAGAAATATGAGGATTTTAAATCCTTCGACCAGAACTTCCATCGCATCCAGTATCAAAGCTGTGCAAATATGTTGATGGTTCATTGATGGAAGACCTTATTCAAAGAAAAGATAAGATCCAGCTTTGACTATATGATCTTGGCACCTGTCGATTCTTTATATGTAACTATAGATGGAGAAAGTCAAAACTCAAACTCCTCTCGTCAAGACACATTACCATTGTGTCGCATCGGCAGCTCGGCTGACGCCGACGGATAGAGTCCGGTAACGTGTTTTCAAAGTATCGATCTGAGCGACATTCCTGCTCTCAGTTGAAAATAAGATTCCAGTATGTCATTCAAATTGCAGGATGAGGTTGGGCCTTTGTTCTAGTCTACGTATGAACCAGGCGACGCCTTTCCTTGCACGGCCCAATGATTAGATCACCATGATTCAGATCATACAAGCTACGGGCATCTGCGTGCCTAATGAGGCTATGCAGCGCAGATTGCTAGCAATAAATATGAACCCGTTGCACGCGCATCAGATCAAAAGCAATCTTGTTTTAATCATGATGAGTCAGAGATTCTGTGTTGATGGCGAACTCAAAGACTCTTTGAACTAATAACAATTTGAATCAAATCATCAGATAGAATTTGATGACGTAAATAGCATCTCTTTGTAATCGAACTCCTGAGTGGACCTTGAGGTAAAGATTGAGAGATCGTCTCATAACACATGTGACGTTGCACTGCGGCCACCTTTTTCAAGAGCTGCGGAGGGGGAGGCTTGGATTGCTGAAGCTCGATCACCATAAGACATTTTTTGAGCAGTTTGTATCAAGAGAGGTTATAAAAGAGCGCAGTCTATCGTTCAAATATCCCCTTTGGCCATCTCTTCGTTCATTTATCTGCAGACCCCAACGGCAGTTCAGAGCTCAAATTGTCTTGATAGTTTATACAAATTCCCGATATCCCGATTGCAGCTGCTCAATTTCCTCACTTTCAATACACATCAAATAGAAAATAAACGATTCTTGTTGCTTATCCTATTTCTATTTTCTTATTGAGAAATATGAAGCACAACGTTAAATCCTTCTTGGCATCAGCCATCCCTGCCATTATTGCGGTAATACTTGCCACACGTTAGTCTTTCTCGCCAAAGTGTAAAAAATCGAACATTCCATGTTAGACGTCGAGCTGATCACCTTCCTTCGTCTTGATCAAGAAAATGATGAGGTCATGGGTGTTGGACACTTCTCCCTAAAGAAACGTATGCATGACCGATCAATAACCGACGCAGAAGTATGGCAGTATGAGGCAAAAATGAGAAACCCAATGCACAACGATGCGAACTCCGCAAATCTTATGAATCACCTGAAGTCTTCACCTAAAGCTGAGGAACTTCGCATCTTTCGAGATTCCAAGCGTCGCTTGTATGAAGAGCTTGCTGCATCTAGTACACATGATCAATCTGATGTCAAGTCGAAGTCCACAATGGATGACTCAAAGGTGCAGGTGCCAGAGGATGTCAAGAACGCTGTACAACTTGAATCATGGCGAACCAGTACAAAATTAACCAAAGACAATATCAACAAAATCATTGAAGATGTGAAGTTAGAACGCAATGGAGCCCTCAGTATTGCAGCAAAATATGCCGACGCAGTTAAAAAAGGAAATTATGCTGTCATCCTTGATAATGAGGGTGACGATTTGGCGTATCTTTGGATGACTTTGGAAGATGGACATATCCCAAAGGTCATCATCACCTATGGTGGTTATCCCGACCTTCGCTTCCAGGCCGTCCAAGAATTTGTCACGGCTATTTGCGAGAAACTTGAAATTGCCCCCGATGAGCGTCCAAAGGTCTATAGAGGCTTCGCCAATCCATATCCGCCTGGAAAGCAAAGAGCTGCCTATGATGAGGTCGAAGGATTGGGTTACATTGAAAAGTCTTATCGTCAAGAATTAATTGAGAAATCCAAAGTGCTTGAAAATGAGCTGAAAGAAGATGAAAATTGGATGGATCATCCCGAGTTCGCAGAGGGTATCACGGCTCTAGGAAAGCTTATTGACGATTCGGAATATACTGCAATTTCTGTGCTCACTTGCCCAGCGGCTGTTGCCCACGTGATTAACCAAAAGGCAGCTAGAGCAAAGAAGATAGGGGTCACGATGTCAAGTCCATGGGCCTACTCAAATGGTGAACATGGTGTACGCTACGAATCAACCTTCAATTCAAATAGACAAATCACTGCGATGAACAAATTGTTGCAAACCCAAGTTGACTTTTTAGGTGTGGGTGGAGGGACTGCCAAGACAAAAGGAATGCGAACTATTCATGATGCCAAACATGGCAATGGCGCAGGAGGAAGTAAAATATACGCAGAAAAAGGGTTACAAAATCTAGAAAAAGTCGTGTCCACCAGCTCAGATACCAGATTCCTCAAGATAATGGCTCATGCTGGGGAAAATGTCGCAAATTCAAAATGGAAAGACTGGGATTTGGATTTTAGACAGCTATGGGCTTATCTTAACATTCAAGAGCCTGAACATCGTGGTGCAGCTACTCTTAGATACCTACTTAGGTATCTTGGCAGCGCTGTGGCAGACACCCCGCACTCTTCCAATTCTCCCAGAGCTCTCACATGGAGTGGCGATAAGATGATGTCTTTATTCAAATTATGGGTAGTATGGAAAAACCCTGTTGAGTGGCAAGCTCCCTCAGCTGACCTGCATGCGGTAATAACAACAAGCAAAGACTATATCAAGGGGATCACAGGTGCTGCACGTTATACAACAGGGGAGATTCCGAGCCAAAGGGGCCCGGAACTTGTGAGCTTTGTCAAACCCAATGCCCGGGAGAAAAATGTTCACTATTCTATCAGTGACATGAATTTTTACTTGGTCATCAACAGATTTCAAGAGATTGTGAATAAGTATGCAGCTTAATGAGACTGGTATGTTCTCTGAAGTTGTAAAAGTGTCCATAGGGTGTCAAGGGAAATCTGGATACCAAGAGTGTGTAAGCATTCTCAGACACCAAAAGCTCCAGATGTGGTGATTTCTACCTACTTCCGTCTTGACTTGATAGTGAAACTTGTTGTACCCTTTCTTCTTTTTTGTCTTTTCCTTAAAGATTCCCCAAGTGCACCTTGACTGTGATCTTGCTAACATGCTGTGAATGACTTGTGACATCTACAAGTATCCTATGAATCAATGATGTAACCCTGTAATTGTAGAGCACTGTGAATGATGGTGATTGATGATTGATTTAGGTTCTTATTTCAACCAAATCAGACTACATTCAATTGTTTAAGAGAGCCTTGTGTTTCCCTATCTCTGTTAGTCTGGTTAGCAGCCCATTTCCCCCAAAGCCAGACATATCTTTTTGGCATGTTTTTCATAACAGCTCAACATATGATTATACTACTTGTGAATTATGGCTGCTGCCTGTCTATCCATGCCACCAAGATAGACATCCATAGGATTATTTCAATCTCTCTAGTTCAGTCAAGGGGTGTGTATGATGGTAAGAAGGGTGAACTTAAGGGTTGTGAAACTGCACTATAGGCTTGATGAGCTTTAAGAAGAGCAGCTAAGGCTTGAAAAGATCAAAAGTATTGTTTTTCCTTACACCACGAACCCCCCTTTTGGTTGAGAAACCGTTTATGGGGGGGTTCAAGAGCAAACTGCTGAAGACCCGTGGGGTCTTCGGTTTGGCCCCGGGTCTTCCGCGGTTTCGCAACAAGTTGCTGATGTACGGTTTCTCAACCAAAAGGGGGAGTTGATCAACCGTACCTCAGCAACTTGTTGCAAAACCGCGGAAGACCACCACGGATGATCAACCTGTCTCACAATACCCGTTGATAACCACGGATGTAAGCTGTTGAACACCGGTTTGGTACCCATGATCAAAGGATGTGTTCCTTTTTCCCTTTGATCAATGGAAGATTTTTGATTTCCTCCTTTCATCGTCGTTTCCATCCATCAAACCTCAACATGGCCCAGCCCGAGATACCTACATGTAAACCGATCTTTCAAGAAACAACCATCAATCCGGAGTGCTGACATTCAGCTTGGATCTGCCAGGCTTTAACGAAGTCCAAGGTCAGCAAGGCATTTATTCATGCCTTGCTTGCGCTGGATCCCGAAACATCAAGCTCGCATCAATTCGGAGACACTGTCAAAATAACAGCCATTACGAGGCGCTTCAACAATGGCAAGCCACTCGAGGATCGACCCCAGCATCCACATCTGTTGATGAAGAAGCAACTGCTTCATCATCAAAGTCAGACTCGGACAATGACCCTGGCAGTCTCATTGGCAGTCCAATGATCACGACTCCAGTGCATTTGGATGATAACAACGAAGACGCGCGAGACTTCAATCAGCGGCAACGCACACTGATTGACCTCTGGACTCAAGATCAATCAGGTGTTTTCGATAATATCATCAACAATATTGATCATGTTTTAGAACAAGACTCTGAGGATGAAGAAGATCACAGTCTTAGCAGCGAGAATTCGGATCCTGCGATTTCAGAAATTGACCCTCTGCTGGATCAGAATGATGACGAGTCGCCCTGGGCTCCCTTCTCCAGTTTGGAAGTCAGTGGGTCGCTGCTACATCATCTGTTCACTATCATATAACTGACTGAACTGCGATTTTCCAGCAACTTGTGGGGTTATTGATCATAGGATCCACTCGGACAACAATGTCACAACGTCAATACGAACGAGTGCGTTTGTATGTTGGTCTGCTGGGAGTCAAACTGTCTGGCTACAAAAGCATTCGTAACCTTCGCCAAAGGCTGAAGGCAACATACAGTTTCGATGTTTCTGAAAGTCTCAGCCCTTTGGGCAAACCCACTTTTCGACTGAAAGTTGAGCAAATAATATCACAAGTAAGCTGCTGAACTTTTCATGAGTATATTGCCCAATAGCCAATAGCCTTTGCTGGAAACTAACAAAAGGCTGTCCTGTCTGTAGGAGTTAGCAAATCCTTACGTCGCTGAACACTTACAATTCATACCCAAATTGCCAAGTGTCAATTCCCAAGTCGATCGCCTGGCACAGTCAAAGAGATGGAGGGAGGAGCTCGACAGAGATCTTCGTGTTCAGATGATCAATTTACCACAAGGGCACTTTTATATATTTGAGCCTGTACAGCTAAAATCCAAAATCATCGTCGTTCCGGAATTGTTTTATCAAGAGGGAACTGAGATCTTTGCAAAATGTGCTAAAGCACAGCAATCTCTTTCACAGGATCAACATGGCCAACAAAACCTTCGCATTTACTTTGAAGCGTCTCCAGGAGGTTTTGATTCCGCTGTCTTATTGGTAATCAATGTCAAGGAATTTTGGAGGACATTCGATTCCATTGAAATACGCAAAGATTTCCTGATGAAGAGCTTTTGCGGTGATTCGATGTATGGTGAGCAATTTGTTAGTCCTGGATGAACGGGACCGATTCCTGCACGTTATTTACTTAAACTTTACGCATCTCAGAGGATTTTGGCACTGGCAATTTCTCAAAAGTCCCTTTACAAAATCCGTGGCGCAAGAAGGCTAAAGGTAAGATCATTCGACATGTGCCATTAGTCTTGTATTGCGACGATCTGTCTGGGAACATTTCAAAGCGATGGAACAAGCATATTGCTTTTTATTTCACATTAGCAGGATTACCGCCAAAGTTGTCGAATCAAGAATATAACTGTCATTTCTTGACTACATCAAACACAGCAGGCGCTCTGGAACTTGCTGAGCCTGTGGTAGATGACCTTAAGTAAGCTCTTCCATCTCATTTGTCATGTCAGAAATTTTATTCATTTGATATTAAATCTCATCTTAACCCTTGGTACTTCTGGATTTACAGCAAAATTGCAACCGACGGCTTTGTGGCATATGATCATCTCGTACAGGCCGAAGTACTTGTGATGACTGCGGTACTCTGTCATTTGGGTGACTCACCGATGCACGCCGAGGTTACGAATACAATGAACCCAGCAGTTTCTTTGTCCACTTGTCGTGTGTGTGACTTGAAGGTGGAAACGTTGCTTAAGAAAAGATCAGCAAAATATGTCAGCAACTTTGTTGGTGTTGACGAAAAGGGAAAGAAGGTAAATTATTTATTCTTCAATATATTCACTTCAGCTAATGTATTTTCATTCTTTTATGAATCACAGCTGTCTCTACCTCCCCGGAGCTGGTCGGAAACAAAGAAAGGAACTCTTGACCTTTGGGAATTAGCACAACGTCCACATAAAATCAGCGCATTCGACACCAAATCAGGATGGTTGGGTATTTGCGACACTCTCAATGCAACATTTGTCAAACGTGTGCAAGAATGGTATCGCAATGAACAGTTTTCAAATCAAGAGGTGGCTCAAATGTGCAAGGATCTTAACGACGAATTTGGAGAACGCCTTTTTAATCCCTTCCTGCGTTTGAAAGGTGAGTTTGAAGTATTGATTTGTAATTTGTTTCATGTTTTATAATATAACAATCTGACTCTCTTCTTGCCTTGCGGTGGGTGAAGGATTTGATGGCCATAAGTGTACCCCAGTTGAAATTTTGCACGTTTTGTTGTTGGGCGTGGCAAAATACTTATTACGCCATCAAATGCAGCGTTGCTCTGCTAGCAAAAAAAACGAAATCTGGGGCCGGTGGCAATCTTTCAAGACGGCTGGTTTGAATATCCCTCCAATTCAGCCAAAATCAATGATTAACCATTTCCTCAGTTTGAATGGCAAGGAGTTCCGCACGGTACTTCAATCGGCACCTTTCATCTTTTATCAATGTTCATCAGTGTCGCATGAAGAACGTGAAGCTTGGTCAACGTTATCTCACCTTGCGCCTTTCATATTTCAGACATCAATTCCCGACATGAAGTCATACATCAAGCAACTTGGAATCCTCATCCCCAGGTTTCTTTATTCAATTGTACAACTCACAGCTCAATGGTGTAACAAACCAAAGTTTCACATGCTGATTCACATCTGTGAATCCATCGAACGCTATGGTCCTGCATGCTTATGTGCAACTGAGAACTTCGAAGGATACAACGGCAATACACGCGAATCCTCTATTCACTCGAACCATCTGAGTCCTAGCAAAGATATTGCTAATTCATTCAACAACCACCGCTTGATCAGATCAGTTACAGCTGCATGTATGAATTATGACAGGAACCACAAGTGTTACGTCCAAGCAGGAAGCAAGGTAATTGAATTATTCAAAACTAATACCTTATTTCAGAAGGCACTTGGATACAACTCTAAGTGGAATGAGCCTGAAAATTTTAAAGGAGGTTGTGAGTTTCATGCAGAACATTTGATTTTTGGGGCAATAACATGAACTGATTGTGATGTTCTTTAATGCTTTTTAATGTTCGATATGGTGTGGAATGTTTGATTATAGATCCTAAAAAGATACAACCTTCACAACCTGAATTGCACATCCCTCAAGTCTGTTTGGATGCTTACCCATCGAAGACATGGAAAATTCTAGTCTCCTTTACTTTGAAGAATGGGCATTCTTTTGGCGAAGGAGACTTCCTCTCGGTATATCATTATGGCCTTGCTCTTGTCTGCAAAAGACGTTGATTGATTTGACTTTTACACGTCCAATCGAGGCATTTGGTTTCCAGATACGCGTCAGATAAGATGATTGGAAGGGTCAAGAGGATATGGATTCCCGCCGGGTCCACGGCAGAGCAGTGCAAGATTGAGGTATCCAGGTGCAAGACCGGCACTGTCAGTAAATTCTATTGCATGCGCGAGATTCAAGAAACAGCAGGAAGTGTCTGGATAAATCCTTTGGTAAGTGCAATTCATTTGTTGACAAGGAGTTGGCAACATTTCTTGATATGAATGCGTTTAGGACATTGAGGGTATCCTCAACGTTCAACACGACTGCCATAAAAGTGGCTGCGAAGTCAAAAAGGATAGG